CGTACGGACAGCAGACTCCTGTCCTTATGGTTAGCAAAAGGAAACCTACTAAGACAGTCAAGTTTTCTTAATGTTTTGGATTTTATGTTTTACATTTCAGCAATTTTTTGCTCCTATCTGCACTTCCTTTTGGCTCTGGGGTTCCCACATAGGGTCTTACGGGTTCTAAAGCAAGTGCTTTAGCACTGATTCGTACTCCCAGCTCTTACTTTGTTTTGCTTTTGCCAGTTTAAAATATCAAGTTTCCTTAAGGGTTAAATTATGTGATGTCCCTCTAAACTCCTGCTACAGTGGGCACCGAGGAAGGGTACCAGCGTGCTCCACCATGTCTATGCTCAGAGCTGGAGCTCTGCGGTCTGTTCCCCCTCTCCTTTCCCGTTTCCTTTTCTGTTCTCTCCCTCCTACTGGAAGAAACCCTATGCTTTCACAGGGAGCTATATCCCTGTTTTAATTTTTTTTTTTTTTAAATTTTGAGACAAGGTCTTGCTTACTCAATAAAGGTGCCCAGGCTGGGCTTGACCCTGTGGTCCTCCTGCTTCAGCCTCCCAGACTGCTGGGAGCATGTGCTGCCAGGCACAGCTGTCCTTTGTGTTTTTGATGGACATGTTCTTTCTTCAGCTGTCTGATAGTGCTGATTTGGTTGTGGTTTACTTTAACTTGAAGCACTGTTCTTATTGACACAAGCCCGCACTTCAGTGATGTAAAATCCGTCAGCTGCACGCAGCTGCTCCCACTTTCCTCTGCTCTGCCACTGCCCAGCTTGCCCAGGACTGCTTGGGAGCTGTCTATGGCTGCAGTTGGAGGCCTGCATCTGTGTGCAGAGCTTTTATTTCTTCCTTGAGGTGGTCACTGCAGCTGATACACAGACATCAGTGAGGCAGTGTGAAGCTAGCGCTTTGTAGGTGGAGCCCATGTTTTTATTCAGAGTGCAGTGGGCATGCAAGCGGGCAGTGCAGGCTGCCATCTCTTAAGTGGGAGTCCAGTGCGATACCGAGCCTCTATCTTACTTTTTTCTCATTGTTGAGACAAAATACTCAACACCCACAAGTTAAAGGAGAAGTGTATCTCACTTGCAGTTTGTGGAGGTTGCAGTCCAAGGCAGGGTGGCATGGCAGAGGGGCATTACAAAAGAGAAGACATTCACAGTGGGCAGAGGGCAGCGAAGTGGCCAGTGACAACAGAGAGCTTACTTCTGTCCCTTATGTTCTGTCCAGGCTGCTCACCCTTTAGGTAAGTGACACTCATGCCCAGGAAGGGGCCGCCTTAGTCCCGGCACCACAGCATGAGTCAATCCCCGCATCGCATCCTCTAGCTTGGGGTCACACATCTGGATCCAGCCACCTCCCAAAAGCCCCACCTATAGCTGCATGATGTTTTGGGGGAGATGTGGGCACAAGCTGTGTGCGCTGCTGTCATTGCTAACCAAAGTGTACTAGGCCTGCTTATTGCTCAGATAAGGAAACACAATCCAATGGCACTGTAGATAAGCCTTTGATTGATACGAATGTATTCAGACACCCAAAACCTGTGCACCTTGAACCATTCGACATTTACAGCAAAGGTTGTATCCCCTGAAAACAGCAGGCTGCAAATGTTTGCAGAATGAGCAAAGGATGTTTTTATCACTTTGAGAAAAGAACTCGTTGGTATAACATTTACATTTTAGGAGGAAGATGGTGTCTCTCCAAGAGATGCGAAAGAAACTGCTTTCTGTTTGTCAGAATTTTGATGATTTTGAACTCAGTACTGAAATGAGCATATCTGAAACTGTGGTTGATACCACAGATTAGCTTTAACCAGGAGATTTTGTTGCATTTCCAAAAGGCTTTTCTTTTTTTAAAAATGTATTTAGTACAGGGTCTACAGGGTCCATACAGATCCGACTCATAGTGATCCTTCTGTTTTCAGCTTCCTAAGTGCTGGGATTACAGATGTGTGCCACTGTGCTCAGTCTTGGTCGTCTCCTCAGTGCTCCCTGGGGGTGGGGCCAGCACAGCACACTGGGGATCAAACCCTGCATCTGCCTAAGCAGGTGCTTTAATCTGCTGAGCTATCTGGCTGGCCCCCAAAACCTTTTTTTATAGTAGCTCAGCTATGAAGCAAGTAAAAAGTGAGAGCAAAGATCATTGAACATGTAAAGCAGATGGAGGAATGGCCTTAGAACTTTCCCAGGCCATTTGACATGTAGATAATATTGGGCTGCTTTTTACATATTGCATAGACAGTGAAAGAACTTGAGATAGTTAACACTCATTTGTTGTTCAAAGGAATGATCATGCTTTACTATAGGGAGATTTGTCAGGAAAATAAGTTTTGTCTTAGTCTAAACTTCATAGGAATTAGAATTTTCAAGCCTCAAGTAAGACTGCCTTAAAAAAAATTTCAAAGATTTAATAGAATTTTTATTTACATTTAAATATATTATAAAAGCATTACATATTATTATGTCTGCGTATTAAATTTAAATATATTAGATATGTTATTCCATACCTAAAAAGTGTTTGGGTTTTCTTCCAGTTTTTTCAATTGATTTAAATTTTGTTGTTATGCTATTTGAATTAATTGTATTTCCTCATACTAATAGGACCCATAACTAAGCCTGTTGACAGTTCTGTCCACTTTTCGTTAATCTGGCCAGCTAGTCCCCTCTTGGAGGACAGTTTTCCAGCTGCCCCTTGCCCCTGTGGTCCTCCAGGTCAGTGAGCAGTGAGTCGATCTCTTTGCAGCTCAGTGAGCAGTGAGTCGATCTCTTTGCAGCGGCCCCTCAGTTCGTGAGTTCTTCTGTTCACAACTAGGTTCTCAAACATAAGCATCTGACAGTTTCGCTTCTGTTCACCAACTCCACATCTGGTGATAAATACAGCCACAGCCGTCTTCCCCAGAGTCATGAAAAAGATAAGCCAAGATACCATTGGAAAAAATATTGTTTTTAATTTTATATAGAGCTCATGGCTATGTAGTATCCTTTCCTTTGATTTATATGTTACCTTCTCAGTTTTGCATCATTTATAGCATAACACTGTGTAAAAATTTTAAGAGAGATTTGATTTGCATAAAAGGAAATGTAAACATAAAATTAGTATCTCCTATTTCTAAATTATTTCTTAGAATCACTGATTTATGTATTTTGTGTCCAAACCATTAAAAAAAATGTAAAATTTTACTGATTAAAATGTGAAAATATTTTCTCTTTTTAAATAGAAAACAAGTATTTCTCTTAAAATGAAAGCTGGCTTCTTACCTAGTTTGCATTTTGGTCAAGAGGTAGAATTGCATCTACGAAATGAATTATTAATGGACCCAGCCGGGCCTGAGAGGACTAGGGTTTCCTGGGCGAGGGGTCCACACCGCCTCCGCTCATGCAGAGTGTAAGTGGTGCTTTTTATCCTTTGTTTCAAAGTTGTAGGTGAAGCCTAGGGGCACTTTTTGTTTAATTTTACATTGAAAATATAATGAGGAATGAAGATAGGCTTGTAAAATTTATTTTAAATATTATAACTACATTGTCTTGATTAAAAAGTTAATTCTATTTAGAGTATGGTTATGGCACAAGTAAATAAAAGCTGAAAATATATTTGTTTAGTAGATAGTTTCATTGCATGTAAATATATATATATATATATGTATTCTGGAATTTTTCTTAAAAACTTTACTAGGGAATTTTTTGTGAAAAAGTTCAAAGCAGAATATAAGTGTATTGTTATACTTTGAAGGTCAGATGTGTTTGTTCTTGCTTTGACTTTTATAAGACTAAAATTTTATCCTTTTTTGAATTACTGACTTATCTCTAGAAATTAAAATAAATTGTATCATTATTATTGAAGTTTAAGTTATGGCAGAAAGTAGTATCTTTTTAAAGTTTTCTTTTTAGAAATATGTATGTTTATTTTTTAATATAAAGGTAAATATCAAAGCTAATTTAGGGCATGTAACATCATCACTTATCTTGGACAAACTGAGCTTTCTGTTTTCTCATGAGATACTATAACTTGTGCCCTTCTTACTTTTGCAGAAATGTTTCATAAATCACATAGTAGTGTTTCAGATAGCTCATGATGAGTTTATTGTTCTACAGATTACATATAGTTTGTTTGTTTGTTTGTTTGTTTGTTTGTTTGTTTGTGAGACAGCACAGGCTGGCCTCAAACTCACCAAGATCCTCCTGCCTCAGTCTCCTGAGTGCTGAGGTTACAGGTGTGTTCCACCACATCCAGCCAGAATACTGTCAGTTTTGAAATTGTCATTTTAACTTTCGAATGTGGCTCATAAGAATGTGTCATTGGGCGGTCTGACAGCTCAGTGGACTAAAGTGCCTGCTTAGGCAGAGCTCAGTGGCAGGATTCAATCCCTGGAGTGCCGTCGATTGAGACTGGGCATGGTGACATGCACCTGTAATCCCCGCACTTGGGAAGCTGAAAACAGGAGAATCACTACAAGTCCAGTCTACATAGTGAGACCCTGTAGATGCTGTAGACCCTGTCCTAAATACAGAAAAAAAAAGAATGTGTCATTTAAATTGTTTTGTCAGAGTAGTTCTAAAGTGAATTTTAAAATATTTTGAAACGTATAGGGGGGTAGGGAGGTAATGAGGATCGAATCCAAACCCAGTCTTTGCACTGATCTGCATCCAGCCCTCCTTTGGGAAAACATTTATTTATTTATTTATTTATTTATTTATTTATTTATGTTTTAATGTATTTGGTACAGCGTCTTAGTACACAGCTCAAACTTGTAGTGATTCTCCTGTTTTCAACCTCCCCAGCACTGGGATTACAGGCATGCGCCACCATGCCTGGACTCCGTTGCCAGCTCAGTGTGCCCCGGGGCGGGGCTGGTGGGGCTGATGGTGCCTTGGATCAAAACCCCAGTGACTGCGCTTGCCAAAGCAGGTGCTTAGACCACTGAGCTATATCTCACCAGCCCAGAAGCATGGTTTTTGTGACCGGGCCTTTCTAAATCATCAAGTCGCATAGCCTGGGCTTGATCTTGCAATCCTCCTGCCTCAGCTTCTCAGAGTACTGGGATTACAGGTGTGCACTGTCATGCCTGGCTTTGAAACTTACCTTCAGTGGAAAAAAATGTTATTTTCAATTTTATAACTTACGCATTTATTTTTAACCTATCTGAAAACTGAGTAATAGATACAGTACTTGCTTCTAATATGCGCAGTCAGCTGTGTCACTCTGGCTGCATACCTTCTCTTATTTCTCCATGCAGGGTGGCATAGGAACAATATTACTAATGCCTAAAGTCATGGGCTCTGGAGTCCGGATGTCTGGGTTCAAGTCTAGCCTCTTCCACTTTGTAGATTTGTAACCTTGAATGAGTTATTCTCTGGGCCTCAGCTTACTAATGGGTAGACTAACTAGTACCATACTACTTACCTGTCATCAAGTCGCTTTGAATGTTATGTTTTGAAATAAAAACAGATACCAACAGTGCCCAGCCTATGGGAAGCAAAGAGGTTAGCAGCTGACAGCTTGGGTTCAGGAGTCATTGTGCCCAGCAGAGTTAAAAGCCAGAATTTATCACAGAATAGTAGGGTTAGCATCTTGAAAATTGTACCCTTTTCAGAGTCTTTATCTGTAATGATCAATTTGGTCTGGGCAAGCTAGAGTATGCCTATAATCCCAGCACTTGGGAGGCTGAGGGAAGGGATCACTGTGAGTTTGAAGCCAGCCTGGGATCAGAGTGAGATCAAGGCCCACCTCCCGAGTGCTGGGATTACCAGTGTGCACCACCAAGCCCAGATAAATGCATTATTATATGGATCTGCTTGTCTGCAGTGGATGATCTAGAAAACTTGAAAATGATACATTTATGTATAGTTAAATTAACTATAGTCTAAGGTAGATAGAATAGTTTCATAAGTAGATTCATAATAGGTTAAATAAAATTCTAATGGAAATACCCGTCTTATTCTTACTGAAAATGTTTTTATCAGCAAGTTGTGCATTAGCATAGTTTTTGTCGATGGTCCAGTATTCATGTGTGCAGTGTCATTTCTGTGTGTAGTTTTGAGTAAAGATTGCTGATGTTGTTAGAGGCTATCTTCTGGCACTATGCAGAGTACATAAATAGCATTTAGGTTCTAAGATGAGGGTGAAAACAAATCTAGAAATACATTATATTTTCTGTTGCAAAGTTTAATTTCTCATCTACAGCCATATTACTATTTAAAATTACATATACATGTTTTCTACAAATGTAAAATGGGAATTTATTCAATGAGTAAAAAGGGAATTGTATGCTTAGTATGTTTACTGCAGATATAGTTTATCTTTTCTTAGAATGGAAAGGTTTTTTAACAGTTTGCCCCATATCAAAATTTTATATAAAAATTTGTAATGTAAGAGCTTTATCCTTAAGCAAGTCCAGAGCCTACATTTTTAAAAATTTTATTTTAAAAAGAAAAAAACCTACAAAAGCAAAATAAACAAAAACAAACCAAAAAACAAGAAACAAAAACAAAAACACAGAAAACAATAAAAATGATACAGAATTTCAAAACAAGGTTTTAAGAAATTAACAATAGTTGCCACATTACATTTTCTTATTTTCCAAATACTTGCTCAGATCCCTAGACATACAAGATGGATCAAACAATTAAGCATTAATTGTTTCTTTCAAAACAAACATACAAACCATAGAGATCAGTTGCACAGTGGCCTCAGCCATCATAATTATGTTTCCTCTGCTACTTTTCTCCTTTTCCCCATCCCAGCTGTTCCCTCCTTTAAGAAAAAATAATGACACCAAGTTTCAAATAGGCTGTTAGACAGCTGCAAGTAGTTGGTACATGGTGTATTGTTGTCTTCCTAGCAGGTACTCAGAGTAGAGATATAGGCAAGGTATCTTGTCTACTCAATATTATTACAGAACTTTCTTTTTAATAAACTGAGAAGCTAGCTGTGTGTCACTCTTAAGTATCATATATATATATATATTTGTTTGTTTCATTTTCCTTTCTTTATTTCCCATTTCCCCACCACAGTTTGTCTTTTTCTTTTGAACAGCTACTTCACAATTCACAGTATCTATTGCACATTTTGGATCTTATTTACTTGTTCATTTTTTCACACTAGTGAGACCATACAATGTTTATACATATGGGTCTGATTTATTTCACTTATGAGTATGGTCTTGAGTTGCAACCATTTACCTATAAAAGAATGCATTTTATCTTTTTTATGGCAGAGTACTCCATTATATTAAAAAAATCGCATGTTTTGTATTCATTCTTTGATGAATATCTGGGTTCCTTCCAAGATTTAGCTATTATAAACTGTGCTGCTATAAACATGGATACATATCTGTCACCGTAGTATGATGATTTTAAATTTTTTGGGAAGGTGCCTGGAAGGGGAATATTTGGGTCAAATGGGACCTCCAATCCTAGTTTTTTGAGGAATCTCCTCACTGATTTCATTAGTCTGCACTCTCACCAATAGTGGAGAAGAGTTCTTTTTTTTCCACAGGCCCTCCAGCATTTGTCATCATTTATTTTTTGATAAAAGCCATTCTTTCTGGGGTGAGGTGGAATCTCAGTGTTGTTTTAATTTGCATCTGTCAAATGACCAGTGATGGTGGACATTTTTCATGCTTTTGTTTGACATTTGCATTTGTTCATCTGAGAATTGCCTATTCATCTCCGATGCCCACTTTTGGATTGGGTCTTTGAATCTGGGGGTCTGATGTTTTTCACATTTTTATGTGTTCTGGATATAAGTCTTTTCGTCTGTGGAACAATTGGCTATAACTTTTTCTATTGTGTGTGTTGTCTTTTCACTTTATTGGTTATTTCTTTTGTAGCACCTACATTTTAAAGTTTGGTTTTATTTAGCAAGCGAAATTTTTCACATGAAGTAGGAGGAGGACACATCTTCACTCATTCATTCACATGTTTCTGTGTTCGCTACGGGTGCTGTGCTTGGTGGATTGAGGATAGCGTGGAGAAGAGCGCCATGGCAGGGCCCGTCAGTGCCTGTGGCATGTTGCATCCACAGCATTTCTCTATCTTCTTCCTGGTTATAGTTTCTGTTAGTTTTTTATAACCTCCTCAAATATCCTGTCATTTTGTGACTTTCTCAAGGAATGTTTCTTTTTGTGTTCCAGGAGTCATTTATACTCCTATTAAAGTAATTAATATGATACATCTTGCCACACTTGCTTGTGGTCAATCTTTCCCCTTGGGTTGAAAATTTTGAAAAGCAAGCAGGAATACAAGAAAATAACAGAGAAATGAGAATACATGGTTTTCTACTCTCAGTTTGTAATGGGGATGATAAGAGTCTTTTTAAAGATTAAATGAGTTGACTTATGTGCTTAAAATGATGAATAGCAACATGGTATATTCTGTATGTGTTCGTTGCTGTTTTTATCAGCAGCTCCTGGCTTTCTTTATGTGAGGTAAATTTTCTTGGTTTTTAAACAAATGTGAGAGTTTTGGGCTGCATAATATCTAATCCTGTGTTGCCACTTAAGGTGTTAAGTTTTTTCTGGGTATGTCCTGAGCCTGAGCTCAGAGGAAAAGCCTCTCTGCCACTTGCTGTTACAGGACAGTACCGAGGCACTGTGCTCCTGCACATCTTTATACCAACTTTTGTTTTGCTCAGGAAGCTCTTAAAAGTGCTGATGGCAATCTTGTGTTTGTTTTTACCTCACCCTTCAAGGCTCAAGCATGCCATTTGGGGGGTGGGGGTAATGCCTTAGCTTATTTTGTTAAAACACTGTTTTCTTCCCAGGCCATGGTCCAGCCTGAGAACAAGACTAGTTGAGCTGATGGCGGAACGGGACTTCCTAGTTCTGTGTAGGATCCACCCCTCAGAACCAGCCTCAAGTCCACCCTCATAGGTCCTCCCTAACCACGGCTGCATTGCTGTCCATGTGCTGCTGCAGCACTGTTTAGCTGGCTTTGAGGAGACTGCAAGGTCACAATCCATGCCACTCTTGGTGTGCCAAGTTTCCACACATAGTGAAAAGCCAGGAGTCCAGGGCACTCCCGGGCCAGTTGGTCACTTCTTTTGTAAGAGATGCGTTAGTGTGAATTACTGTGGTTCTTCTGTTCGTGGAAGAATATTGGAGCGGCTAGCATATTAGGTGCTACTCAGCTTCCTGAGTGCTGGGATTACAGGTGTGCACCACTATGCTTAGCCCTCATGTAGTCTCTTGAGAACCAGATTCTTTTGAGAATTTGGTAGCTCATCAAACAAATTTCATTCAGTTTTTGGGATGTATTGTGATCTCCCAGCTCTGGGACTTCATATGCAGTGTTCCTTCTGCCTGGGATAGTGTTGCTGTCTCTAATTCTCATTAGTTCTGAAAGTACCATTTTGGAGGCCATACTTTTCAGAGAAGCTCATTTGCTGGTCCAACCCTGGATCTAGGGTTCCTGTGATTCTTGTCATCCCTGTTCTGCCCCCGTTGCATATGTTATGACTCTGTTTTACACTAATTGCCTGTACCACGTTATTCAAGGAAAACAGGAGCTGCGAATGTAGCAGTGCTTGGTGTGTGGTCATGCTTCCCAAGTCTTTGTTGACGAGTGAGTGGGCGGGTACTGGATAAGGAAAAGCTGGCCACCCCCAGCAAGGGGAAGAGGCTGAACAAAAATGAACCAAGGAGTGTGGTGTTGAATATTGTGATTCTGAAGCAGTGGAGTAGGCCTGTTTGACTCGAGTATTTATTGGAGAGAGCCTGGAGATTTAAATGTCAGTAGTGGGTCCAGAGTTTATTTGCTGAGAAAGGGCCAATGAAGCTTTAGAGACAAGCATGGTAGTACATGTTATCGTGAATTGGACCATTCTTACACATGAAGAATATTTTTCTAATGTTTTGTTGAAATTTTTGTAATATTCTTCAATGTATAACATATTTAATGACTGCCTACTTTAGGGAAAGTTTTTCTGAAATTGTTTCAACATAATTCATAGAGAAATTGAATGAATGTTGTTGAATATATTGAATAACTCACTAAACTTCAATGTTTTTCTTATTAACTATTTTAAACTATGATGATTTAAAAATGTAATTCAAATGAGGCAGTGATTTAACTTACATAGGGGGTTTTCCTTTTACTTGTAGCTTTAGGAATAATAAATGCTTACAGCTGTGACTTTTTTTTCTCTAGTATCTCCAGAGGCAGTTGGATTTTTGTCAGCTGTTGGGGTGTTTATTATCTTGATGCTGCTCCTTTTTCTCTATATTAATAAGAAGTTCTGTTTTGAAAATGTTGGCGGGTTTCCAGATCTTGGATCAGGATACGGTGCAAGAAAGAATTCACAAGATAAAATGTGTAAGTACATATTGCTTCTTCTCTTTTTATCTGTGCTAGTCTTTATTTTTAGGAATACAATAAAAGATTAGGGACAGGGATTTAGCTCAGTGGCACAGCACCTGCCTAGCAAACATGAGGGCATGAGTTTGTTTCCCAATTAAAAAAAAAGAAAAAAGAAAAAAGATTGGATTTGACACATTATAATAAACTTATGCTTATGTTTGTGCCATTACGGCATGATAGCAGCGGATCTGTTAAATTATGTTCAGGCGTCCTCTGTTGCCCCTGCAGTATAAAAATATTACATACCATACTTACCTGTGATCCCAGAATAACCTTATTTTTCATTTATAAATATGGTTTTGAGACCATGCATGAGCAGATGTGCTGTAGGAAGAAGAGAATATCCTAATACTTGTGTGTTTGAGGAGCAGCGCCCTGTGTTCTGGGTCCACGCCCCCAGGGCGTCGGATGGTACTCACCCCTTACTTGGACCTGCTGTTTAACAATTAGCAAATGAATAATTTTATTGTTTAGATAAGAAGGTTTTCTCTAGTCACTTAGTGTATAGATATGAAGTGTTACCAAAACATATGGCGAATATTTAAATTTTTAAAATCACTGCCTTAAAAAGAAACGTTGCCATTAATTCCTTTCAGAGTACTCGGCCTTCCTTTGAGCACACCTATGCTGTCGTTCTTGCCACTTCCTGAAGCAGTCTGGAAGCCCCCTTTTATGAGTGTCGTTAGTTGCAGTGGTGTCCTGAATAGATTCACAGCGTGTGCTTTTCTTGGTGCCTGATCCGGGGAATAAGGTGGAGGCAGGCCGCACCACGCATCTGCTGGTGGCACCGAGCAGCAGCATTCCCGTACATTTTGTTTACAAAAGAGGATTTCTAGAACTGTTACAGAATATGACAAGAAAGATGAGATCTGTGTGATCGACCCAAAGGGCCACAATTTGAGGGGGAATAATGGCATTGTCTTTCGCTGCAAACATTTCAAAAAATTTAAACATTTACCATATATTTTGATCACCTCTTAGAAGCTCTGATTATAAAAAGTAGCGTGCCATTTCTTCCTTGGTACCATGGGCATTGTATGATTTAGTGTTACTAAATTCTAGGAAAGATGAAGGCTGTCACATTGTTCTAACAGAGGAAAATTCCTTGGAGGTTTTTACTTGTAATTAGTGTAAGAGTTTTTAATTTGCTATTTCCAAAGTCTGCCTTGTATAAATGGTAGCAGCAATATTTGAAAGTTATAGAAGTAAGGTATTGACTTAGAAGAGTTTTCAAGAATAATAGTAGAGAAACTTGTGTTTTTTGTCTACTTATGTTGGAGAAATGCCATTTTCATTTCTGAGAATTTAAAAGAATTTAAAAGCCCATTTCTTATAAAAATCTGTTGTTACATTTTGTAGTATTTGTGTTAAGAACTGGTGGTGGTACTTTATAGAGCTTTGAATTGTTTCTTATACTCAACTTCAGTCCTGCCTTTGGAAATCTGTGTGGAATGAAGTGGTCAAACATAGCTACTCTGGTAGTCTCGAGTAGTGCTCTGGGGTCAACATTCCTGGTTTTTCTTTGGTTTAATTCCCTCTTTACACTCCTGAAAATCACCGAGGACCCTAAAAAGCTTTTATTTATGCAAGTTATATCTATTAATGTGTACCATATTAAAAGTTATAACAGAAAATTACAAAAAATGATAAATTTATTTCTAAAATACTAACAGGGCTATTACATACTAATATAAATCACATTTTTAAATTTAAAAACTATTTTTTAAAACAAAAAAAGTTGGAGAGAAGAGTGACATAACTTGTATTTTTTCCCAAGTCTCTTTGATGACAGGCATAGCAAGGTTCTAGTGCCTCCTTCCACAGCAATCTGTTGTGACACTGCCAGAAGGCCCCAGTGTGCTCTTGTGAGCAGTGGCAGGGGACAAGTGACCCTAGTGTTACTGTGCAGCTGCTCTGACCTTCAGGAACCTTTGAAAATGTCTTAGGGAGCTTCCCTTTTTTTTCTGAGTCTTACTTTTCTTTCATTTCTTATGTAGGAACAGTACTTACCCTGTGGCTATATAAAATCAGAGAAGAGGAAGTGTGTCAGCTCAGTGCCTGTGTGTGTCACTCAGCAGAGGAGCTCGCCTGCTTTCCGCCCTTTTTACTTTTATACAAAATTGTATCAGTGTTTTTCCCTTCAGTGTTTTTATTTTAACTTGAAGTGGTTTTGGTAGTTTAATATGGTAGCTCCCTTGCATCAAATATTAATAAGTAAACTAAAAGTACATAATAAAAATCCTTTTCATACTTCTTCTTTCAGGTATAGAATAAAAAGCCTGTAGTATTTGAGGGGAAAGTGCTGTCTTGCTGCTGTTATGATAGCTGTGAAGTGGGAAAAAATACCATTGCACTTAAGCCAAGTGGTTTGATTTTTAAAAATTTTTTTTCTGGAAGAGTATTTACTTCAACATATTCTTTTCAATTTATGTTGTATTTACAGAAAAATTAAAAGCACAGTGTGAAATGCTAATATTGAGCTACTGAGTAGCAACATTTAAGTAAATGTTAAATCTGAGTTCCAAAGTAATTGATGCTTTGAGAAGAGAAAATTGAATTATTGCATCTTCTAGGAACAAGGAAGTAGAATATGGCATTTTTCAAAAATTTTCAGCAGAATCTGCCTTCAGTGTCCTCCCTGGTGGACACGATCAGTAGTGCCGTGGAGGACTTGACCACTGCCGTGGGGGAGGCCAGCTATGCCTTCACTGATTCAGTGGCTGAGCAGGTGACAAGCATGATAAATGGCCTTCGCCCAGAGGAGGAAAGCATGGCCGCAGAGGAAGCTGGAGATACTTCTGAGTCAGGAGACGCCACCTTACTAGACGTCTCCAGAAATGCTGCCTACCACACAACACAGTCCAGGGCGGAATACAGAACAAAGCCAGTACATTGTTCTTCTACTTCAGCTTCACAAAAGCAAGAACAGGGAATGCGTGAAGAACGATGGCTTTCACATACTAGTGATAGGCACCAGACTCTGTCAGTATGTCAAGAAATCAGTAATGCTGGTGCTTCCTTGAAGAGCCACGCGAGTGCTGGTGGGAAATCAGAAAACAAGCGGAATCCAAGGGCTGCATCCACTTGTCGTGAACTTGAGAGCAAAACAGTTGGTCTAGAAGTCTCCAGCAGTGGTAACAAAGATGTGAAGGAGGCACGATGCCGAGGAGTGGAAGAAAATCAGAATACCAGCAGTGGAGCCAACAGCCCCTGTGAGCAGAAGTACATGGCCACAGATGGGCACAAAACGGAATCTCAACGTGTGCTTGTGGGAGGAGGCCAGGAGAGAATGGGGCCTCTCGATAAAAATAACCTTGATATAGGGCATTCTGATCATTTAAAGAAAGCTGAAAGACAACCCAGAAGTAAAGGATTCAAAGGGAGTGAGTGTTTGGGAAATGAATGTTCTCCGAAGGATGTTTCGACAAGCAAAAGGAACAGGCTACGGAGGTCCATCGTGAAAGAAGATGCATCCCCGGCGATATCACGTAATTCTAAAGACAAGTTTCTTGGAAAAATCAGAGGACAGATAAAGCCAACGGCATACTGCAGAGTAAGGGAAGACATAGAAGTGAACCAAAGTGAAGCCAGTTCCCCCAGGAAAGGGGCAGCAGAGAGTAAAATTGCAAAATATTCTAAGATAATGCCAGAAGAAGGTGAGGTCTTGTAGTATTGGTTTGAGTGGTTAAAATTTCTTTGGATTTTTTAAACTTAGGACAACAAAGTCCAAATTTCTCAACTTTCTTATTATTATCTATATGTCTAATTTAAGACTTTCTTGTTTCTTGGCCTTTTTATGAGTTTTAAAATTTATTTTACAGAGAGTATAAAAATAATAGATAAGACATTAGAAATGATATACCTTTAAAGAAAAACAGAAACAAGATGAAACAACTTTCTTGAATCATCTTATTGGGAGATATTAAAAGCCATTCCATTTTTTTCCAAATACTTTGAAGACCATTATTTCGGTACCCCTCAGTTTTACCCCCACTCTTTGCATTATATAGCCAATTTTTCAGCATCCATGATTTTTCTTAATGAGCATTTATTTTACAAGCAGAAACCCCATAGTTTCTTAAGTAGTGCATATGCCTTAGCTGGAGTTTATTTGGCATGCTTTATACTTGCATTTTAAATTTTTGCATCTTTATAACTAACTTCTAAGTCAGTTATGTAACATGGCTCTTCAAATCCGCCATAATATGAATCTATAGAAAATATTCTGTATTTTAGAGAAAGTAAATCTTATTCAGTAACAACCTTCAGGATATGTCTTTTTAAATTTAACCACATATTAAAACTTTTATATGACTTGTGGTAAACAGCATGAGTTTTGTTTTGTTTTTTGTTTTTTGTCTTTTTGGCAGAACTGGGGATTGAACTCAGGCCCTTGTGCTTGCCAGGGAGGCACTTATTCTACTGAGCCATTTCCCTGGCCCCCAGCATGAGTTTTTTTAAAATAAAGAATTAACATTCTGAGTAAGTGTTTATAGTTTTTAGCTACAATATTTATGAGAATTTTTAAAGCATGATAGGTATTCATACTAGTAGGAATTGCTTGGGATAGTTGTTGGTTATTTCTGTTTATGTCTGATCTTATTAGAAGAACAAAGGTACACTAGCTTATATTTATAAAATATATCTCTGGAATTTTTCTGTAATTTCAGATTCTTGTATAAAAAACCAAGAAGCTATAGAAATGAGGTAAACTTTTTTCACTTGTGCTACAGGACTCATAAATAATAGCTGTGCTACTTACTGGTCGTATGAATAGTCTTTAAATGGCATAGGAGAGGCTGGCTAGGCTAGATTGTTAATAAGGAAGGGCAATTCTGGAAATTATATCCATTTTACAATCTAGTCTTATACCAGTTTTTGAATGTCAGAAATAGTGTTTATTTATTATAGTAATAGCCTTATTACTTGAAACAGCAAAAGTAAGTAATTAAAAATAAAGATAGTGTACATAAGAGCAAAAATAGCGCACATGCTATTTTATTCAGAAAATAGCAGGCCGGCCCCCAGCAGCAAGCTCATTAGGAAGCACCCTGGAGCTGAAGGAGGCACTCTCCTGAGTGCTGCGGGTGCAGTCCGTGCTGCCCTGCACCGCACTCTGTCCCAAACAGCATGAGAAAACCAAACTTTTTTTTTTAATATTTATTTATTTTTATTTATTACATTTATTTATTGTGTGTGTGTGTGGCCAGCTCAGCCCACCAGGGGGCGGGTCTGGCTGGCATGTGGTGCTGGGGATCGAACTGCGGTCCCTGTGCTTTGCCAAGCTTGTTTCAAGTAGGTGCTTTAGACCACTGAGCCATCTCTCCAGCCCCTTTTTTGAGACAGTCTCCCATTGTGATTCAGGCCAGCCTTAAACATGTAGCCCAGGCTGGCCTTGAACTTGTGGCAATACTCCTGCCTCAGCCTCTTTGGTGCTAGAACTATAGGCACGTGCCTGGACATTTTGAGAATGTTTTGACCCACAGATTAACCCTTCATTCAGCTGGTTTGTAATACTGTGTTTACAACATGTATATTCTAGGTTCCAGCATATGAGTTATGAACTATTAAGAGGGGAGAGTTTTCTTATATTTCTTTTTCTTTTCATACTGGGGTTTGAACTCAGAGCCTTCTCCCTGAGCTGTATCCCCAGCCCTTTTAAAATTTTTTAAGTTAATTTTTAAATTAATGTGTGTGTGCCAAACTTAATGCTCACATTTGTTTCTAAGTTTTCGAAATTTTGAAACAGGGTCTCTGCAAGCCACTGAGTTGTTTAGGCCTCGCTTAAGGCTGTGGTCCTGCCGCAGCCTCCTAGAGTACTAGGGTCCTAGGCGTGCTGTCCCACCCACCCCCTTTCTATTGATGAGTGCAGTGCTTGCTGTGGTGACACGTGGCAGTAGGTGCAGCGTGACCCTACAGCCTGGCGGCCCTTCCCTGCCTGTGGCCACCACCACTCTGCTATCTGACAGAGCACTCAGGCTCTGAACTGGGAGTCAGGGGCCTCAGCTCTGGACTGTCTCTGCCTCTGTATCAGTGCTGTCCATGAGGATTTTCAATGGAAAAGTTATTTATTTTTTATTTGTTTATTATATTGTCTTTCTGAGACAGTGTTTCACTATGCCGTTCAAGGGCTGGCCTTGAACTTAGTCTATAGCCCAGGCTGGCCTTGAACTCAAAGAAATCCTTCTGCCTCAGCCTCTCAAGTGCTATGATTGAGGTGTGCACTACCACACCTGACCTAGTTCTACTTTTAGTATGGCTGAAAAATTTGTTGGAAATTTATTTATATTGAAGTAAAATTTTTCTACTAGTCTCTCCTTTTAAAGGTAATAAATGTTAGCGGTTTGGCATGTATTCTACAGGTGTTTTGTTTGTGCATATGAACTCTGCATGTCTGTGTGGATGTATTACACTTAGGAATGTGTATAGTATGCACATACTTAAAAAAACCTTTCTATTTCATAACTTTTTTCTTGCCACACGATGTTATAACTGTTCTTTCTGTGCTTGTGAGTTTGCTTCCTCATTTGTAAAGACTTTAATATTTTATAGATTAGAATTTAACTGAGGTCTAAAGATAGACGTATCTGTTATCTATTTTTGGGTTTTCCTTTTTCTGTACATAATGGTGTAAATAGTCTCAAACATATTTCTTTGTTCACCTGTCAATTACTTCCTGAGGCTGAAGTGGAGCCAAGATTTTATAGATTTCAAAGTTATATATGTTTTGTGATGTTGTTCACCATAAAAGTTGTATAAATCACAATTCTGCCAATGGCTGTCAGCCCATTTTTCTGTTTCACTATTAGAGCTGGGCATTGCCAGTTTTGAAGATACTGGCCAAAGGGAAAATAAAAAATGTGTCTTGTAACATAAATTATTTGAAACAGGTACTGGCAGTATGTATAACTTTAAAAATTGTGTAAAATGGCAAGCACTGTAATTTTCTTTATGTGTAGTAAAACTGAGAAAACCCTGTGATCTAAGATTATTAATATAATTAGAGTATATAACTTAATTTTTAATTAAAACACAAACAGCTAAAGATTGTACTTCTTTCACCAAAAGATTGTATTTCTCAAGAACTAAAAATTCAGATTGTATGTGTATGTATGTATATTTATATGCAAAAAAATGCATGCCATACTATGCTTTGAAGAAAACTTTGGGGATTTTTCAATTATTTCAGTTTTTGGTGTTTTTTTTTTGTTTTTTGTTTTTTTGTTTGTTTGTTTATTTTTTTTTTTTTTTTTTTTGTGGTACCAGGGATTGAACTCAGGACCCTGCGCTTGCCAGGCAAGCACTTATTCTACTGAGCTATCTCCCCAGCCCTATTTCAGTAATTTTAAGAACTATTTCATCTCTCATTGGCTCCCCTCATATGCTGAGATATATATATATAATTTGTGTGTGCTTGTGTGTGCACAAGCACACACAAACTATATATATATATATAGTTTGTGTGTGCTTGTGTGTGCACTTGTTTTAGCATGTAATTCTAATAAGGTCATCATACTTCAGTGTTGTAACATTACCATTTCCTTTCCCTGTCATTCTGAATAGACAATTCCTACATGGACAGAGATGAGCATGGTTCCTCCTCTGAAAGTGAAGATGAAGCTTTGGGTAAATATCATGAAGCTTTATCCAGAACACACAGTTCTAGACCACCACTGGTAGATTCTAGACAAAAGAACTATGCTTGGGAAACAAGACAGAAATACAGTCCTTTATCTGCGGAATATGATGGATACAGTAGTGAAGCGTCAGTAGATGAAGGTAAGACTGTTCATTTTACTTTTTCAAAATGACATCTGATCAGATTGAGTCTGAAATTGTAGGCGCTTGTGGGGTTGTATACTAAACAAGAGGATGTGCAGTACAGTTATGTTTCATAGAAAATCTTTGGGCTCAAGTCAGAAATCAAAACCAGTACCAGAATACCCAAAAGCAAAACACCGAGTAGCCTAAATAACGTGATCACCGTAGTGCATGTGCTGCAGGGAACATGCTGGCCATGCGTGCGCTGGGAGCTATGCGTGCGCATCTCTCAGAAGATGTGGGCACAGGTTCCTGCACATGAGCTGGAGAGGGCCGAGTGACTTAGGGTGCTGCCTGGCTTCCAACGGAAGTGCGCTTTTCTCTTCACGCAGCCCCGAACACCAGCCATGTGCTACCCGTGCTGCACAGAAAGGAAAGGGTATTCTGTTCCATGCAGGAGAGAAAGAACAGTCCAAGATGGACGTACTGAAAACCGGTACTATAGTAGAATATGCTTTAAAAACAATTTAAGGAATTGTTTAAGAGACTATTTTATGTCTCATTGGTTTCAGCTTTTGTGCTGACACAGACTTTCAGGTACAGCCTTTGTGAAGGTGCTAACTCCACTATTATGTGTACTTACATCTTTCTGTCACGTAAATATGGGTTTGCCATTAGTTAAAGCATATTCATTTCTACATTTAAACACATTGCTCACTTGCTTAATAGAATATGATCTCTATCGTGATTTTATCTTTATACCCAGAAATAAAGAACAGTACTAAAAAGCACTTCTAGTATTTGCAAGCAGAATTATTGATGTTGTAGCAGTGATTTATGTTTAAAGTCTTATCCCAACACAAATTATCAAATGGGCCAAATAATGTTTTTGTGTGTGAATTTATGCTGACTTAACATTGGTGTACCTCACCTTTATTTGTTAGTATACAGTATAATGGATAAATTAATCATATACTTAATGATTAGTATCTAGAGTATTGCTATGAGATGCAGAGGATGAAATAAAAACTACCTTAGATGGACACTATGCTCAAAAATGCCATTTTAGCACAAAGAAAACAAGATACATGCTTTCAAAGATAAGTAAATAATGCAAAGCAGGACAGCCACCTCCCAGTTCTCCTGCACCTGTAGTGACATGAAGCAGGAGGAGCATTTGATCCTTGTTGGCATTCTGGCACAGTGTGTAACACAGAGCTTACTGTACTATACTTACTATAATATAGTACCAGAGTTTACTATGAGACCTTCGGCAGTATGTTGTGTTTTGCTGTTTCATTGTGCATAAAATGTGGATAGTAGCAGCATGCTATGGTTGCCAGCCCAAATCAAATGACAGATGTACCATTTTTAACAAGGGTGTGGCACCTAATAGGTAAATGACTCTTTAAAGCTGTTGAGGATGAGGGCAGTCAAAACAGTGACACGCATGGTGGCAAGTTGTTATGAAGAAGCCTGGAGTTGGGCATCTGTGCCCCTGGGCACTTCCCTTTCTGCAGATGTAGTACTCCTTCTTCCTCTCACACTTTGTTCTCTTTTCTGCCTTCATTGTTTTCCTCTGGAGTCCTTTTATGCTAGCATGGGCACGGTAGTCTCCAGTAAGAGTGGTAGGAATACACTATAACCTGTGTGGCTCTTCTGTTCTTGTCCTCACCTTTGGAACGAGGGTCACCTCATTTCATTGTACCCAGGTGTTTTAGATCCTCCTGGACTTTTCCACACATTTCTGTCCCAAATTATTTGATAAAACACCTGGAGTAGATTGGAGCCACAGGAGGCAAAAAGAATCAGTAAGGAGATATTCAGTGATGGATGAATTTAGGGATGAAGTCTAGGTAGCTGAAGGGATGGATTTGCTCTTGATAAATGACTGAATGTGTACAGCGAGTAAAGAATCAAGTCATGTAGGTAAAGGAGCATTAGAGAAGCAAGCTTGTAGAACAATATAATTTAGCATTGGCTATGTTGAGTTTGAAGTATCCAGATTATCTGGATAGAGATAGATACATTCGTTAAAGGGCTGTCATTGGGATTGAGGATGAAGAGGAGATCAGAAATAATTTGAAGGATTTGTAATCTAATAATTCACCATTTTCCTTCACCCATCAGTGGTTCTCCTCTGTGTATTGGGCAGGAGGGTAGCTGCTTCTAGAACACATTTACATGGCTGCTGGGGTGTGTCGGGGGAGGGTTGTGCACTCCTGGTGTGGTGGTGCAGTGGCACTCCTGGCACAGCGCTCCTCCTGTATGAGAAGCCCAAAGGATAGATAAACCAAGGAGAAAAATAAAAGATAGTAATAAACAGGGAGATCAATCTTTTACAGATGGTAAGGGAACCCAGAGACAGAGGGAGGATGAGAAAGAATTAATATGTGTTACGCACATGTACCAGGTCTCCACTGTGAATGTCATTGTTATTTACTGCAAACAAGAACTAATAAAAATAAAAATTTTACAAAGGGAAAAGCAATTTCAGGTAGGTAATTAAAAAAAAAGTTTTAAAGAATACAAAAAGATTAAAAAATTAGAAACAATGCAAAATTTCATTAAATGAACAAAGAGGAATTCGATAGTGGTTGCTGTATTGCATAATGTTATCTTCAAATTAGTTTGCAGTTATATAAAAACTTGCAAAATTGGTTAAAAAAAACTTGTAAGAAATTAGGATTTTTTTAATTTTTATTTTTTAAAGAGAGTACAAAGTAGTTCAAGAAAAAATTACAAATGATACAGAATTTCAAAAGGCAAAACAATATGAATTTCACACTATTTGTTGTACTACATAGTATTGTCTTCAAAATAGTTGTTCAAATTACCAGATATATGCATGCAAAATTGGAAGAGGAAAGAAAAACAGAAAAAAAATATGAAAGTAAGAAGAGAAAAGAAGGAAAAATAATTGATTTTATTGTATTTTTTGGGTTGAATTGGTTTTTAGGACAGATTTTATTTTTTTGTTTGCTTTTGGTGCCAAGGACCGAACCCAGGGCTTCCAGCTTGCTAGGCAAGCATTCTACTGCTGACTCAAATCCCCAGCCCCAGAAAAAATAATTGAAAAAACAAGACAAAACAAATTATGCATTAACTGTTCCTTTTAATAGACCAACAGAAGTCAGCACTACAATTATCCAGATTGTGCTGCATATATACATATGTATATCTTTTCCCTTTTTCCTTTCGTTCATTTTCTCATCCCAGTTTCTCTTTCCCATTGAACAAATTCTTTCCATTTCATGGTATTGATTATACTTTTCAGATTTTATTTATTCTTTCAGGTTCTCACACTAGCGAGACAATACAATGTTTGTACATACATGTGGCTCTGACTTATTTCACTTAGCGATGGTCTGTAGTTGCATCATTTTACCTATAAAAGCCTCAAATTTTATCTCTTTTATAGCTGAGTAATACTCCGTTCTATAAAAATGCCACTTCTTTTTTATCCATTCCACAGTTAATGGGTGTTTGGGTTGTTTCCAAGATTTAACTGTGGCAAATTTATATCACTGTGATTATGATGATTTCAGTTCTTTTGGAAAAATACCTAGCAGGGGAATAGCTGGCTTGAATGGAACCTCCAGTGCTAGCTTTTTGAGGAATTTCCACACTGATTTCCATAGTGATTCAACCAGTCTGTACTCCCACCAACAGTGGTGAAGAGTTCCTTTGTTCTCATAGCCCTTGTAGCATGTGTTATTGGTTGACTTTCTGATGATAGCCATTCTTTCTAGTATTAGATGAAATCTCAGCATTGTTTTAATTTGTATCTCTTGAATGACCAGTGGTGTTCAACATTTTTCATGTATTTATTTGCTGTTTGTACTTTTTCATCTGAGAGGTGTATATTCCTCTTAGATTCCCATTTTTGGATTGGGTCTTTCAATTTTAGAGGCCTGGGTTTTTTTTTTTTTCTTTAATTCTTTGTTCTAGATAGAAGTCATTTGTCTGAGGGACACTTGTTTATAATTTTTTCCCAATTGTGGGCTTTCTTTTTACTCTGTTGGTGATTTCTTTTGAAGTGCAGAAACTTTTCAAAAAGGTGAGATCTCATTTGTTGATTCTTTGAAGTATTTCCCATGCAGTATGTTTTTTTTTTTCCAAAACTAGCTACCTTTGTCTTGAAGATTTCTACCTAGTTTCTTCTCCAGAAGATTTAGTGTTTCAGTTTTAATATTTAAATCTTTGATCAATTTTGACTATAGTTTTGTACGTGGTGTTAGGCATGGGTTTAATTTTATCCTTCAGCATATGGAAGCCAGTTTTTCAAGCATCATTTATTAAAGAAGCTATCTTTCTTCCAGTGAACATGTTTGGCACCTTGGCAAAGATAAGGTGGCTGAGTGCATCTGTAGTTTTTTCAGCGTCTTCTAATCTGTTCCATTGATACTCAGATCTGTCCTTATGCCAGTACCATGCTGATTTTATCAGAGTAGCTTTGTAATATAGTTTCCAGCCAGGGATTATAATGCCTCCTACCTTGCCTTGGTTCCACAGGATTGCTTTTCCAATTCTAGGTCTCTGATTCCAGATGAATTTTAGGAATGTTTTCTCTAGATCTATGAGGTATGCTGATGGTATTTTGATTGGGATTGCATTAAATCTGTTTAACAATTTTAGTAATATGGCCATTTTCCCAACATTGGCTCTTCCTACCCAGAAGCAAGGAATATCTTTCTTTTTTCTGAAATCCTCTTCTATGTCTTTTTTCAGAGTACTATAATCTTCACTGTATAAATCTCTTACTTCCTTTGTGAGATTGATTCCTAATTATTTCATTTTGGGGGGGTGTTACTGTGGAAGGTGTCGTTTCTCTAATTTCAATCTTGGTGCATTTGTTGTTTGTGTATAGAAATGCTGTTGATTTTTGAGTGTTGACTTTGTGTGCTTCCATGCTACTCAATTTGGATGATGATGATGATGATGATGATGATGATGATGATGATTATCATTGGATACAGGGTCTCGCTACACATGTCAGACTTGCAGTGATCCTCTTG